CATAAATCCAGTAAAATGGCAGATTCGTTGACCTTAATGGGAATAAACATAAATTATTATCTAAATCTCTAAAAATTCCAAAATGAACTCCATAAGAAAGTAGACATGTAGATCTTTGATTTGATATGTTACACTTAAGGTTCAAAAACTGACAAGGCCCTCAAAAACATGTTAAAGAAAATCAAAATGGCATGTCTAGGAAAATTCTTATAGTTGCATGAAATCCATCATGTGGACTAAATGACTTCAAGGTTGATTTTAATGCAACATCTACGGTTTGACATCGATTTGAAAAACATCCAAAGTGTTATTCATACTTATCGTTAGAACTACCTGTTCTAATTCGCTCAATCCTTTAGCACTTAAAGGCTTATAGGTTAATGGTTCGCATGAAATTATCAAGAGATCTATTGCCAAGGCATATATCTAGGGTAATCAAACCCAACATCTCAAGCCCGAGGGGACTCAACCTCAACTACTAAAGAAGTTCTTCCATTTAAGATATCACTTTAAAATATAAATCAAAGGCAAGAATGACATTCACATGGTAGAAAAGAGGCGAATATGACAATTCGCCAGGATAGTCGTCCTGGAACGTATGAACTAGGACTTTCTATGCCTTTTTTGTGGATTCCTACGTGTCAAACGATGGAAAGGAACATTCATCTTGCGACTCTGCTGGCAGCATCATGACATCAGTTACCACAATCAACCATTCTATCAATGAGAAAGAAACAAAATTCTAATTTCAATAAAATAGCACCACTCACCTCATTCGAGTCTTTATCAGTTTCAGAATTATGGAATGAGATGTGGAAACGCTTTGTCATCCAAGAATCTCATATCTGAAATATTATAAATTCCAGCTAGAAGTCAATCAACAACATAGACTTTCAACCACTGGAATAGAGACACCTAATTCTGGTAATGAACGACACAAGAATATCAATCATCGACTTAGAATCTAGAAAGTCGAAGAAATTCACATAGTCAGATTTGACTCTAAAAGAAGAACCAATAGGAATTTAATATCGAATGGATATGAACTCAAATTATCTATTGAATCTCTAAAACCCGGTGACTGAATGAGGATTTTTGAAGTCAAAATTGACTACAAAACTCACACAAAATGGAAACCATTCACTAGAAAGGAAATATCTAATATGGTTAACTCTAACAATAAATCAGACTTAACACTGAACCTGAAAACGAAATGATAGAGAATGGTATGGTATATAATTGATATCCAAAGTCAATGTCTTACAATGAAATATTTCAGATTTAACGAGAAAATCACCAAGACAAACATTCGTGACAAGAAAGAATTTTGATTCCTGAGTATATAGGACTATGATAGAAAAATAGCACGAATCGATATGCTAATAATAGTAGGGTGACCAGCTTATGGTCAAAACAAATTAAGAATAGAACTTGAGCTTGGAATCCTGGAACTTGTGGGTTATGACCTACCACGCTTCGAAACGAGGTCGAATACAATAAATATTAGAGATAAACTTCAATCTCTCGATAGGGTCTATAGTCACCATCGTCACCAATCGAAGAAAGAATGATGTCTCATCAACACAAGAACCCATGAAGTAAACACTCTTGAGTAAAACATTCTCAAGAGAAAAAAGAATGTATTAGTGAATTGAGACGAGTAGCTAGAATACAAATTTGAATGGCAAGGCTAAACTTGCCTATTGATCAAATCGAGAAAAGCAAAACATGGAGGGAGGAAACTCTACCGATCAAAATCTGTGGGAACCCAAGTCGTCGCTCTCCATCAACTAGAATCTTTACGTTAAGCGGGTCGAGAGGTGAAAAAGACCAATACCGATATTCAAACTCTACGAAAGTCAAAACGAATATCATTTCCTAAACCGAAAGTCTCGTAAAAAAAATTTCCAAAGTCAACATTGACTTTGAATTTTTAAAACTGACAAGAATCAAGAGCACTTATGGAAACAAATCAATAACTATCGGGTCAAAATTAATACTTCCCGAAAACTTCAAAGTCAACTTTAACCTCGATCTTCATATCGATAACAGAAACATGGATTCCATCCATCAAAGTGCTCTAGAAAAATGAAACGGACTCTAAGGTCAAATTCTCAAATGCAATTGTATCATGTATTAACTAGTATTGTACGACACGTCCCGATACAAAATTGTTAAAAGAACAACAAAACTCAATAAAAACTCACATAGGCTCAATTTCCCATGGAATTTGAAGTCGTGCCCTGATACCAAAAACTGTCATGACCCCAAGGATAGGGCTGTGATTATTAGGGTCTAATTTAAAATTCAACTTAATTAAATTGAATTAATTAAGGAAACATGTGAAAATAAAATAAAATGTACAAATACCAAAATAGATATTAAAATATATTGCTCTGGAGTCTTTCTTTTACAAATAATATTTAAAACAGTCCACAAAGTTTAAAATTATACAACTCTGAGACAATGTCGACCAAATACAGTTTATATATAGAGATACGGTACAACTCAGAATTAAAAACTGCAAATTCAGAATAAATTAACCACTTCGAATCTCACGCCTTCAATCCATTGGCATCCACTTGCCATGCTATAAATCTAAACCACTAAGTCTAGAGGGAGGGGTTAAAACATTGAAAATAGAGGAAAAGTGATCGAAAGGGCCAGTAGAATATAATTTTATAACAAAATTTTAATAATTAAAAGTACTCGCGGTCCGAAGAAACACTTGGAACCAATCATCCTTTAAAGAGAGAAAAAACTGACATAATAGTAGCAAATACCTAAATAATAAAAATGTGCAAAGCCATAATATCACAACTGAGTAAGAAGTGGCCCGTATGGTTTTCGGGACCTGCCCCCAAGGATACGATTCTCATATCCCGATCTCTGTGGCCATCATGTGTTTTATCATTTCTTAAAATATCTCATTTTAAGAAAGAAAACTCTTTAAAATCTCATTTCTAAATTATTGGAAACTCAATAGCATTATTCATGCTATTTCTTCTAAAATCATTTTTCTTTAAACATGTTTTGTTTTAAAACATTTTCATACACCAAAATCATTGAAATCATGGCTGTCAAGAATATGGACAAGAATATCCTACCTCTCAGATATCAAATTTGGGCTAGCCTTTCGTTATCCTAGCATCTATTTTCCTCAAAGCTTTTAATCTAATCCTTCAACTAACATTGTCACAAAACAAAGTTTTAGGACACAATCCTCATTCCTAAAACAAATCAAGTTCAATTATGTCTAATTGTTTCATATTAGTGTGCCTTGACTCAAATTCAAGTTTCACAAACGACTTTATAATTTAGTTTGGGGGTTCTTTAAAAATTGAAATCTAATTCATTGGTTTGGTTTCCCATTGAATTTCGACTTAAACCCCAGTTTTTAAAGAAATTTCGATAGCATACCGGCATAAATAGGGAAAATGTCAAACCTACAATTCAAGTTCAATTTTAAAATAAATTCTCCAGAAATCATCAAAACCAGTTTCCAATCAATTCAACAAGTCCAATAACTGAAAATCCCTAAATTTAATTCAATTTTAACAATAATTGTTCAAATTCAAACCTTAACTCAAAATTATTCAAATCCAACCAAAATTACAAATTCTCAAGTCAATAACTCAAATTCAAGTATGGGTTTTCAAGAAAGCTTTATCTCGAAGTGATTGAATCTCATTTCTCTCTATTTTTCTCTTTTTTTTTTCTCTTCCCTATTTCGGCAAGGACTTCAAGAGAGAGGGAGAGAGACCCAAAGAGAGAGAGGTGGCCGGAGAGAGAGAGAGAGAGAGAGAGAGAGAGTTGCCGTGGAGAACCAGAGGAGAGAGAGAAGAAAAAGAAAGAAAGAAAGAGAGAGAGAGATGGTGGTCTGGGCAGCCACGGGAAGGAAGGGAATGGAAAAAGATAAAGAAAAGAAAGAAAAGAGAAAATGAAAAAGAAAAAAAAGAAATAGGGAAAAATAAAAGAAAATACATTAAAATTAAGTATATTTTTAAAAACTTTTGGGGTGAAATCATAAATACTGAAAATAATTTAAAATTTCTTAATTAATTAAAAAAATTAAATTAGGCACATTAATAACTCAGAATTTAACATAATTAAACATGTTTAATTCTAGAGGGCGTTAGATATTTATAAAATTAATCTTTAGAATTATAGAAAGAGAAAGACGGAGGGGGCATATTGAAAGGTTAGATCGGAGTGTTTTGAACTGTTTTAAAAGTTTTGGGGGCATTTTTAAAAAGATACATAGTTCAAGAGTATTTATGAAATTAATCATTGTTTCTTTTATCTTTTTTTTTCTCGGCAATTTGTATAACAGTTGTTTTAAATAAATCACACGTGTGATTAGTATTTAATAAAAAATTGAATAGAGATTAAAGGGATCCAGTTTTTTTAGGCAAATTCTTGATAGAATAAGAACAAAAAATAGATAAATACAAATTTAAATAATAGATATTCATCTAATTTCGTTATACTCTTGTAATTCTTTTTCATCTGATAAGATATGATATAGTCTGCTAAATTGGAACTGTGTATTATTATTCTTTTCCAAATAAAAGGAAGAAATGGACTCTGAACTTCGAAGTCAGTAGCTACTCATTCTTATCCCATGGCAGCTCTTACGTCACGTTGTAATGATTATTGTTATCATTGTTTTTTTTTTTTTTGGCTAATCGTTGCGATGATTACTTAACACAGTTTTACGAAATGATTGCAAGTGTCCAAAAGTCTAACTAAAACGTTAATCACCCAAAAATATGAACACATGAAGTGATGGGTATGCAATCTAAATGAAGGTACTGTTGATTAGCGGGGAAAAAAAAAGAACTGTATTTAGACACTTGTGTCCTTAATTCAAATGATTTTGCATCTACTAATTGTTTGTCAAAAAGAGAGAACTATTTGCATTTTGCGTATATAAAGCCAAATATGTATTTCCATAAAATTAAACCCAAAAAAAAAGAAGAAAATTAAGGCTTCATACATACAAAAGAAAAACCACAACATGTATTATATGGTTTTCTAAACTAAAAATTTTGAATGCTTTTGCATCAATATAAACGTTAAAAATAGAGCTCCACATATACATTGCAATCTAAGGTCATCAATCACATTCTCGTGTCGATATTATACCCAACAAAAAAAAGAGCTATAACATAGGGTCTTACGAAATCTATGTGAGGAAAAAAAAGAAAAAATAAAACTTCACAAAAACTGATCAAACTCTCATGGCTCCCCACAGATACTATAATGATCAGAACCTTTTCCGCCCCTTGAATGTTACCGCCTCCTTAGGGGATGAGGAGGAGGAAGACGACGACGACAATCCCGACCTGTTATTTTCAGCCATGTCCTTGGAAAAGGCCTTCTGCACTTCCTCTTTGAGTTCCATGAAGCGCATCTTCTTCTTCAACTGCTCCTCTGTAGTGCCCTTTTCAAGCACGTAGGCATCAGGCATGTCTATCTCGTCGTCTAAAAATTTATTGAGCACCTCCGAGCAGTGTGGGAAGTATTGCCTGCCCTTCTCCACTGCCAACTCATACATCATTAGTACGCGGTGATTGCTCATGAAGAATAAATTAAAACAAGTAAACAAGGTAAGAATTTTCCTGTACTAGTTCAATATTGAACTTAGAATGGTCTCCAAATATCTTGATTACGTTTTGAACTTACTTAACTAGCTGGATTTGACAATTGCTAGTTTGATAATTCAGTCATTGCAGATTTTATTAAGTGTAATCACTACTAAGTCATTGCAGATATTATTAAGTTTGATCACTATTCAAGTATTAAGTAATTATTTAAGATCCAAATTATCATATCAGAGCAGGCATAAAATTATATGTTACTTTTTGGACTGTTAGATTGTGAATTTGTCCTATATTGCTAAGTTACAAGGCTGCTAGGATGTTTATATGTGGTTTACGCACCTTCTCCCTTTGAGTTGGCTTTTGGGGATGAGTCCCATTTAACAGAGAGAAATTAGTCAATTGCATATTCAAAATGAAGCTATAAGAAATGAAGGTCATTTTTTTTCGGTAAACGTTGAAGAGGGACTATATCGTTATAAGGTTCCAATAGATTTTTGGTACAAGAACTTAGCTTGTAAGACCACTAAACTGTACAAAATATGGAACAAGGAAGCACAAATATGGAACTGGGTTTACTAGTAGTGTTGGGGAGATTTCCACTCCCACCGTGGGATCACGCCACGTGTCAATGACTGTACTGGAATTAAGATCAAGAGTAAGCGCAGTTAGAAAGGGATGCCCACGATTCAAGGGTTGCCCAACATCCACCTCAATCAAGGGAAGCGCAGACCTTAATCACGGGCCAAGACCGATGTCGCCAAAGAACTCTGACGCATCAAGAACAACCGAGTTCGAGGAAAAGGCATGAACGCCACATGCAAGAGGGAAAAATCGTCCGAAAAGCAAGGGCGTGAGTCCCCCTTTTCCAAGAATAATATGACCACTGAGAGCGCGAAACGTGTAAAGTAAATAACGGAATTGAAATAAAAGTCCTACCGGATTGGAAAACTTCCTAAGACCTTCCAAAGCAAGAAATGTCATAAGGAAATCCTATTCAGCTAAAGATCGGTGACATGTCGTGATCAGAGGAAATTCAAAATATTTATCTAATCATGACACTCACCATATAAATAGAATACGATGCATTCACAAAGGAGCTTTCTCTTATACTCTCAAGTTATTTTCTAGATTATTCTTCTATTGTTCCATTTTATCTCGAATATTTGCCTGACTTGAGCGTCAGAGTGTCTTCTGCAGGACACCCCGGCCCCCCGGACGACGGAGTGACTAGAAGGAGCAGAAGGTAGGTGATCAACCCCCAAAAGTCGATGTTTAGAAAAGCACACAAACAACTAGGATTTGGGATGAACAAAATTTGATATTACCACAACATAAACTTTATTCTGGCAGAAAATTTTTGTACCTGTTTTAATAAGGGCCTGTAATCTTGCTTGGAGTCTTTTGGTTCGTACGGAGGGTGTTTCATTCAAGTCAACTTCACGCAAATTTCCATTTGATCCTCGTGATCTTGAAAGACCAGTGGCGATGTACATAGAAGTCGAATGAGCATCGGCCATCTCCATCGCTAGCCTGGCTTCAGCCGGAAACAACAATCGTGCAAATGCCACTGTAACATACAAGAAAGACGTTTGGTTAAGGAATGCAATTTTTCAGTATTAAATCAGCCAGCTAGGATGGTAGGGAAATGTGATTTCCCAGAAAGTTTCCGCAAACCGGATGATATTCAGTTTTTCATATGACTAAGAGAGGTGATGAATTTAGAGAATTTTCAAAGAAATCCCTCAAACGGAGAAACTATTTAAAGAAATGTGTCACATACGAAAACTAGTAAGAGAAACTAATAATTTTGCATTATCCTGAACTCCAACCACAAATCATAAGTGTAATTAATAGTATCAATGAATAAAATGACAAGTTAAGAAATATTACCTCTATTTTCAAAGTAGTCCAGCTTTGCATGCAAATCATCAGCCACAAGCTCTGTTGCCATTGAGATATTCCCAGAGATTGAATTCCTTCTCATCACTCTCTCTAAAACGTCGATGCATATTCGGTCTTTGTTCGATTCCTGTCCTTGCTTCGTGTTTTCATGATAGTCCTTCGGCCTAGTCAATCTTCGACAGATTGCAACGGCAGTTTGACCATCAATTGTGGTTTCTACAGCAGAAGCTCCTCGATCCAAAAGTGCAACTATCACCGATGGCTCCTTCCGCCTTGCAGCCACATGAAGCACAGTATGCCCTCGGGAGTTTTGAAGATTGATGTTAGCCAAGTTTAGACCAAGAACCTCCTTGACAACCTTAGGATCACAGTACGCGACAACATAGTGGAGAGCATAAGCGTCATCAAGGGTAATATCGGATTCATTAAGAAGAAGCTTCACTAGCTCGACGTCATCAGAGTCCAATGCTTTGTGGATTCTTCCAACTCTCTTGTCCTGCACTTGTACTGTTTCCCCCATCATGTTAGATTCGTCGTCCTCCTGCTGAGATTTTTGACGGAATAATTTGATCTCCTTTGAAACTTCATAAGGAAGCGCTTTCTCTAGAGCCACATCGTCAAGATTCGACTTTGCAGACCTCTGGATGCAGTGTGAGAGCAGATGGCTAAGTTGGCAGTGATAGGCAACCACGAGAATCGGAATTACATCTTCTGCCAAAGCTTTCTCGACAAAGTTTAAAAGCCGGCGCTACATGAATTTGTGAAACTTTAGTCAGGCAGTGGAAATAGAGACATCTGTATGCTTAAGAAATTACAGGACAGATAGCATAGTGAACTACATTTGAAACATGAGAAATTATGAAAGCAAGAGAACCAAAAAATACTTCAATTCTGATCAGAAACCATCTTAGCATTCACATTTCTATTCAAATTATTGTTCTATTACCCAATTGAAAAGCAAAGAGAGGAAGTTTTGAATATACTTTATACCAATACTGCTAAGACAATGATTTTCACAATAGCATACAATGACTAGAAGACTTGTGACAGTCACAGGAGATTAATGAAGATAGACTAATATCGCAGGTTCAGTGAACCTTGGAGTTCGGACTATCAGAGACAAGTTATCACTTCACTGAAAATTTCCCACTTCACTTTACATACCAAAATTGAATTATTCAAATTTATATCACACGTTATAGCAATTAGAATCATTTTTGGAAAGTAAATTCACCTAAGATAAACATACACTCCAAACTAAAGCTCAAAGTCATAAATAATTTGGCAAGCGAGATACAACTTTTTGTCACGAACCCGTAACTAATAAAAATAAAACGATAGATAGTAGGTTCATTCGAGTGAACCTTGATCTCCATTGATAATTGATAAGGTTTTCGAGGAATCCAAACTTCTCAAAGACGCAAAATGTCATATAATTCTTTTCGAGGAATCCAAACTTCTCAAAGACGCAAAATGTCATATAATTCATCCACACCTTTCAGATTTCCTTAAAGGTGCCAAAAGCATAAGAAGTTCCACATAAGGATAATGCCTAAAAGCTTGGATAATCCGAAGAGTCGTACAACTAACTATTGACTAATTCAGATAGATAAAACCTAAAAATATGAATATATAATTTATTTAAAATACAAACTTGGAACCATAACATTACCAACAAAATATGGAAGCATGGAATACCTGAACAAGCAAGACTAGCTCCTTCATTTGAAAAGTTGCAGAAGCATACATCAACTCCACAGCGTAGTTAATGGCTGGTGGGCAAGCATCATGAGCACAATTCTCATCCACACATGTTGATATCTCTGGTGGTGAAGCCTTAAGCTTTCCGGTTCCAGTATACAAATAGTTCAAGACAACATCAAAAGCCTCACGCCCAACCTTCCCATAAGGCACCAAATCAGACATGAGATACCTTGGCTTCCCTTCTTTCACCGAATCTGGATTCCCTTTCCTCAAAAGCTCATGAAAGAACTGGCTCCGGGACGCCAATATGCACCGGTGCACCCCCACCGGGACCCCCTCAACAACAATCTCCGCATCGGTATAGTCAGCAAACTCAGCATCAATCAAGAGCTTCTCAAGATTGCTGCTGAGTTTGCTCAGGCTCAGATTATCAAGATTTTGCCCAGGTTCAGAACTGGCTGAGGCAAATACATTGTGGCTACTTGAACCGTTTGATATATAGGATGATGAGGCAAAGCTCAAGGATGATGAGAGTTCATTGAGATTATCCATAACTCAAAAACAAAATAAGTCTTATTCAGTTGTGAAGAAATCCATCTCAAGTTTCCATAGATAAAGCACAACTTTTAGCTTGACCCAAATTGTTGAACTTAAAACACTATCCAAGTTCAAGAAATCCCATAAATAATACAAGAATCACAAAAGGAGCTAAAACCCAACTCAGAACTTAATCTTGACAATTACCCACTTGCTAAAACACCATGAAAATCCATACTTTTCTTCTTCTGAACCAATGCAAACATCATATGATTTGGATTCAAACAAGCCCTTTTGATAAACATTTGAGCTTGAAACCTCAAAAGATTGAGAAAAACTAAAAAGAGAGAAAGGACAAAGATTACTTATGAAGCAGGCCTTGACTTTCTGCAGCAAAACCGAGGATCAGAGGCTATGATGAACGACCTGAGAGTTGACTCAGAAACCCTTCAGAAACTGTGAAATTCAATGATACTTGGCCAATACAGAACGTGAAACTTCGAAGAAGATAAATGGGTCTTTTTTTTTTCTTTTTTCTTTGGGAAAAGAATCTAAAAAATAAAGTTGTTCTCTCAGTTCATCAGAAAGTTAAGTTTGTGTCGATTCCCCATCTTATTGGTGGAGCCAAGGTTGACTGACCAAATAAGAGCAAACAACTTCCCAAGCAGGGAAATAAATAAATAAACAAATAGCAACGATGATAACACTAATATAAATAGAACAAACAAATGAAGGCACGGAACAGAACCAGAAATATTCTATTAACACCGGATATTAAACAAATCTGATGCACACAGAAATAAAATTAAAAAACAAAAAGAAAAAAAATAACAGTTTTATCTTTTAGTTTAAGGGGCTTTGTGCGTGATGTGACAAGTACATAGGAACTGTGTAAAGGGTATTAGATATTGGATAAGCACTTCCCTTCTTGTGGTTCAGTCAGACTTTGTTCAGTTGACTTTCAAGCCTGTTTTATGTGAACACCCTAGTTTGAGATCAAAAAATTTTAATAAAAATTTTGATAATTTGTTACACATTTTTAAATTTGATATATTGTTGATGTGATTGCTTAACTCTTACCGCATATTTTTGAACCCTTGACGGTAATATAAGTTGTTTGTGTAAATCCTAGATGTAAAAATATGTTGAATTCGTTCATGAAAAGAAAGAGGGGTAGAGATATAAAAACGAAAAGACATATATTTGATTAGATATTATTTCATAATCCATCACAGATTTTGTACTAAATTTTGGTGCCCACCACACCTTTTATTTGGGGTGAGCTTTTCACTTCTTTTTTCTTTTTTTCTTCTTCCGTTTATGTAGATCACAGTTCACATAACACCATGGCCCTTCTCTCAGCTGCCTAAATCTGCAATGAAATGGAATGATATGTAAATAAAAGTAATCAAGATATTTTTTTTAAGATTTTGAAAAAAAATAAAAAACCTAATGGTAATTTTTCATTTTCAACCGCCAAATTTATATCAAAAATTATATTTTTTTATGTAGTTTATCAATCTAATATGATTTTAATCCAAACCAATAGTTCATAACTGACCCTATTGAGTTTTCGGAGAAAGTCCAACAAAAAAAAAAAAAAAGGGGAACTTCTTTGAATACGTGTTCTTCTCGGCATGTGCATTGAATTTCTATTCAGTGTGTCATTATAAATTGTATGATGTCATATTATATTTGCTATAACAACAATTGGCATTATTATATTGATGCAACACATGCCACTATACTAGTTTTACTTATATTTATCAGGTGCCATTTTGGCAGTTGTTGTATATGACAGCTGTTTTTTTTTAAATAAAAAAATTTGCAGTCATCTCCATTGGAGCCATATCAGCAGCCCAGGAAAATCTCGATTAAGTCGAAGAATTACCGTCAGTTGTAACGTTAAGGGTCCGTTTGTTAGGAATGACAGGAGGGATAGAAGGATGGAGAATTTGAAGAAAGGAAAGGCTTGAGATTTTCTCAAAATTAGAATGATAAGAAGAAAAGATGATGACTTTCCATTCTCTTGTTTAGTATTAATGTTATAAGGCCATGTTTGGTGTGCAAGATAAGAGAGTATAATTTTAGGGCAATGGATTGAAATGTATAGAAAAGTATAGGATTATATTTTGGTTTAATCCAATCCCGTGTTTGGGGTTGTGTTATTAGGATAAGAGCATTTTTGTAAAAAAATTTATTATGAAGTCAAATTGCATTTTTTTAAAAACTGGGGAGCAAAAGTATAAATTTTTAAAAATATATTTTCTTATGAAATTTGCAATTTGATCCCGTAATTTTGGAAAAATTACAAGTACACCCTAAATTTTATAAAAATTACAAGTACACCCTAAATTTTATAAAAATTTACAAATAGGTCTCTAATGTTTTTACAACGTGCTTTAGTCAAAAGTTATCTCATGTTTCAGTAGGGGAAGCAACATCCCCTTCTAAGGGGATTTAACAATAGATTGAACAAAAGTTTATCTAATCTAGTCTTTTAAAAATGTTCACCAAACACAATATAAAAATTTAATCCTATCTAGTTCTCCTAATCCTGCGCACTAAGGAGGCATATTAATGTCGAAATATGTTCTTAATTTATGTTAATAAAATATTTATTTAAATATTTAATAAAATGACTAAATAAAATCAGAGTTGTTATCGAAGATAATAGCATTATGAAAAATGTTGGAGAAACAAATTATAAAGAAATTGATGAAATAAAAACATATCTTAATTGTCGATATATTACACCGTATGAAGCAATCTGAAGATTATTTGAATATTCAATTCATCATAGAAATCCAACTATTCAACGACTTTCTATTCATTTACCAAACATGCAAAACATTATATTTAATAAAAATCAACAATTACAAAATATAATCCATCAACCACAAAATTAAAAAAAATAACTTTAATTGAATGGATGGAAATTAATAAAATAAATGAAAAAGCTCGACAACTCACTTACATAGACTCCAAACAAAATGAGTTTAGAAACATAAAGATAAAGTTTGAACACAACGACATAATGAACATACTATAGGAAGAATGTTTTATATTCCTCCCAACTCTAGTGAACTATTTTATTTAAAATTATTATTAAGTCATCAAAAAGGTGTAACAAGTTATGAATTACTTCGAACAATTAATAATATCATTTATTGAACACATCAAAAAGCCTGTCATGCATTAGGATTATTAGGAGATGACAAAGAATGGAATGAATCAATTGAGGAAGCATCATTTTTATCAACATCCATTCAACTTCGTCAACTTTTTATTATTATATTATTATTTTGTAATGTATCTAATCTAATAAAACTTTTAGAAAAACATTAGAAATTAATGTATGATGATATAATATATAAATTAAGAAATTTATTTTAACAATTCAAGATTCAAAATCTCTAAAAATGAATTATATAATTTTGCATTATATAAATGAGAAAAATTATTAAATTTAAATTCATTTTCTTTAACACATTTTAATCTACCACTTTCAACGGGATCATTATTTGAAGATTTAGGTAATAAACTTTTAAGAGAAGAACTTAATTATAATAAAAATAAATTAAAAGAAGAAAATATTAATTTAGTTCATAATTTAAATAATGAACGATATTATATCTATAACGAAATTTTAAACTCACTTAAAAGTAAAAGTGATAATTTATTTTTGATATACGGATACGGATATACAGGAAAAACATATTTATGGAATCACTTATTAGCAAAATTAGATCGAACGGTGAAATAATATTAGTTGTAGCATTATTTGGAATAACATCATTACTATTACCAAAAGGTCGTACCGCACATTCAAGATTTCACATACCTCTTTTTGTTGACAAATTTTTAACATGTCAAATTAAAAAAAAAACACTTTACTAGCAAAATTAATAGAAAAAACTACTTTAATATTATAGGATGAAACGCCAATGAGTAATAAATATTGTTTTGAAGTTTTAAATAAAAAATGCAAGATCTTAAAAATAATTTTATTTGTCCTTTTGGAGGAATGACAATGATATTAGGTGGTGACTTTAGACAAAGTTTACATGTTATTCCAGGAGGTACAAAAGAAAACATTATTGACGCAAGTATAAATAATTCTTACCTTTGGACACATTTCCGTATACTAACTTTAACAAAAAATATGAGATTAAAAAATCTGTATACCTTTATTGATGAACAAGCTGAAATCGCCGAATTTTCTGAATGGATACAAAATATCGGAAATAGAACATTTCATGGAATAAAAGATCCTGAAAATGAAGATGTTACTTGAATTAATATACCCGACAAATATTTAATGCAATACGATAAAAATCCCATTGAACATATTTCAAATACAATATATGATCATTTCAAAAATAATTATAACAATATTAATTATATTAAAAACCAATCAATTATAACACCTAGAAATAAATCTACAAATGAAATAAATGAATACATATTATCTTTAATACATACAGAGGATTATGATACAATTCTTATTTTTTCTCGAAATCTTGATGAATTAAATTTATTATATCCTCATGAATTTTTGCACACACTAAATTTCAATGGTTTACCCCCACATAAATTAAAACTGAAATTAGAATTCCTGTTATGTTATTACGAAATCTTAATCCATCATTAGGTTTATGCAATGGTACAAGACTATAATTCCATTGATACAAATAATAAAATCTATATACATAGAATAGAAATGACTATAAATGAATCCAAATGGCCATTTGTGTTAAAAATATGATAATTTCCTATAAAAATTTGTTATGCAATGACAATAAATAAAAGTCAACGTCAATCATTAAACAAGTTGGTCTCTATTTAGAAAATGAAAATTTTTCTCACGTCAACTATATGTAGCTTTATCTAGAGTAACATCACCAAAAGGTCTAAATATTTTAATACATGAATCAATTAACAAATATCCAAATCATATAAAAAATATTGTATACAAAAAGATACTGCATAATATTAATCAACATTTATACATTTCTTTCTCATTACATTTTTACGCTGTAATATTTTTTTGCACCTGTATAATATTGACTTTTAAATTTCTAATAGCTTTTTTCAGCTAAAAAAATGTTCACTCCAATACGAATATTGAAGCCTGGTGAAACACATTTTACTATTCGTGCACGAATATATCGTCTATGGAGAAATACAAATTATAAGAATGGCCAACTGTTAAGTTTGAATATGTTATTAGTTGACGAAGAGGTAATTTAATTTATTTTGTTTATATTTTACATAAATATATATATATATATATGAAAATTTATATTATATAATATATAAATAACAACAGTATAATGTATACCTTTTACATCATGAAGCAATACGCGCTATTATTCGAGCAAGAGATGGCGATTATATGACAAATTTTAAAAGAGGGCAGTATATATGAAATTATAAATTTCTTCATAGATACCAACAAACCAAAATATATAATTGTTCCTAATATAGTAATTTTACAAATTGCTTGAGCAACAAATTTTAAGCGTGTTGATGAGGATCTACCAGAATTACCTTGGGAGAAGTTTAATTTCGTAGAATTTGATCAGCTACCGCCAAAAATCGATGGCAATCATGTTCTTTCAGGTTATTTAAATTTTATATTTATATCATTAATTTCAATATTTATAATTTTATGATCATTAAAGCTAAATTATTTTAATATTGTTCTTTTTATCATATGTCATTGGTCGACTTATATGTGTCCATAGTTTAGAAGAATCGATCATTGGT